CCCAGAAATGGAAGGCCTTCCCATCCGTCATGCAGGAGGGAACATATTTGGCCAGTTCTCAGTTGCTTCTTCCTTCTGAAGATGTCCTCCAGAGCTCTGATGAGTACCTGGTGTGTGCAGCCACACATCCCCAAGGCAACAAGGAAGTACAGGTGGCCTATCAAGGTAAGACGGAGCAGGCTCCCATTTCTCGGTGGGCAGCACAGGGACATGGCTTCCCAAGCTAGATATCCCTTAAACTCTATGTCTTCACCACAGCGCCCGTGGAAGAGAAGTCCCCCAATGTGAATGTGTATGTCCCATCCCGAGAGTCCTTCTCAGACACCAGCAAGCGGACCTCCAAGCTCATCTGCCAGGCCACAGGCTTCAGTCCCAAGAAGATCTCACTGTCCTGGATCCGAGAGGGGAAGCCAGTGCAGTCTGGCATCAACACAGGCGAGGTGGAGCCGGAGCCCAAAGGGTCTGGGTCATTAACCTACCAGATCACCAGCACAATGACCATCAGCGAGAGCGACTGGCTCAGCCAGCGTGTGTTCACTTGCCACGTGATACACAGGGGGCTGGACTTTATGAAGAATGTGTCCTCTGTGTGCGGACCCAGTGAGTGCACAAACCCCCGGGTGTGGGGTGGGTGTGGGGAAGGTTTGGAAGTTCAGATGATGCCTGGACCCCAGAATAACCCCTACTCCACCTGGGCCAGCAGGGACCCCAGCACACACACACACACACACACACACACACACACACACACACACACGCACATGTGACGCATATGTACAAACACACACCACATACACAAAACAGATAGATACACATACCACAAAGACATATACACAGATATGCAAGCACCAGACAGACACACAGACACACACACTTCACTATCTCCTCTGAACTGGTCAAGAACAACCCCTCCTTGGCAGTGAGGAGGGGGCTCTGGCCACTGTGAGTTGCCCTTGTCCCTTCTCCCCTATTAAGCATAGTCCACTATTAAGTGCTGGGGAAACGGTACTTCCCCAACCTTCTGTCCTACTGCATACTGACTTCAGTCCCCTCTTTAACCAGGCTCACCATCAGGCATGCGGATCTTCACCATCCCCCCGTCCTTTGAGGACATCTTCATTACCAAGTCTGCCAAGTTGACCTGCCTAGTCACAGACCTGGCCACCTATGACAGCCTGAGCATCACTTGGACACGTCAGAATGGCAAGGTTCTGAAGACCCACACCAACATCTCTGAGAGCTATCCCAATGCCACCTTTAGTGCCCAGGGCGAGACCAATGTCTATGTGGATGACTGGGAGACCGGAGAGAAGTTCACTTGCACCGTCACCCACACCGACCTCCCCTCACCGCTGAAAAAGTCCATCTTCAAGCCTGAGAGTGAGGCCCCTTCTTGTGTGGGATGATGATGTTTGGGGTGGGATAGGTCACACGGGCCCTCTGGGTCTTGGTTTCCCTGCTCCACTCACTGTTACCTTTTCACCCACAGATGGAGTCAAGCGGGCACCATCTGTCTACCTGATGACACCGACCCGGGAGGAGCTGAGCCTGCGTGAATCTGCCTCCCTCACCTGTCTGGTCAAGGGCTTCTCCCCTGCAGATGCATTTGTGAGGTGGATGCACAAGGGACAGCCTGTGTCCCGCCATCAGTACATCACCAGTGCCCCGATCCTGGAACCCCAGGCCGTGGACTCCTACTTCCTCTCCAGCATCCTCACAGTGTCTGAGGAGGACTGGAGC